GACGGGGTGGGGGAGAAACGGGGGGGTGGGGGAGATTTTACCCTGGGAAGGGTAAAAAAGGGCCCTGGACTCTCTTTCCCGCCGCTGCATGTGGCCGGGAGAGGGATCGAGGGGGGGGGGAGGAAGGCAAGGCCGGGGAAGGCAAGGCCCGGCTACTTACCCTCCTGCTTCGTCCTCGTTCTCCAACGGAATGAGGATCGAAGCAGAGGGCGGGCTGAAGAAGGGGGCGGGGCTTCACCACGTGACTGCCCCGCCCCCTAGAGGTTCTCTACCGGAGCGCCGTACCTGAGCGCTCCCCCCCGACGAGAGCCCTGGCTGCATTGCCAGATCAAACCTTGCAGAATCTCTGGTCAGAAGACACATCTTCTCTGGCCAATTAACTTCTGCTACACACTGGCCACAAGTCATTACCCCCCAAGCAAGCAAAACCCACTAGTCACATTGTGGCCTCCCAAATGCTTCATATATCTCTCTGAATACACACACAATTTTGTAGTCTCGGGAAAGCAGCAAAAACAGGAGGCTTAGAAAGTCCTTAGTGAGCACTCATTCTGTTCACTGTGGTCTGTGTTCAACTTCATTGATCTTAAATTATACCGGGTTCTGGTAACAATTAAATGACACATGAAATCGATATGCATGCCAAAGATAAAAACTCCACTGCTTAAAATGAGATGATGGATTATACTATAGTATGCTATTGAACTGGGTTATATGGAGAGCTTCCTTTGAAGACTGTCTGGAGGAGAACTGCCTACTCTCATATCAACCTACCTCTCAGTTAAGATCAGTACCTTGATTGAGCCCTGCTCTTTGTGATGTCACCTTCTGGAGTGTGGTGAGTGAATACTAAAGCCAGAACTTTTTCAGTGGTGGCACCTAAGTTATTGGCCACTTCTACATTGTCATTTTTGTCACTCATTTGTCCCTATTGCTTCAGGGCTCCCCCCCCCCAGGCGTTTTGCTCTCTCTAGTAGTCCCGTGGGAGGGGGACACAAAGCAATAGGGACAAATGAGTGACAAAAAAAGACAGTGTGGAAGTGGCCATTGTAAATACTCTTCCCCCACAAAAGTTTGCCAAATGAAAAGTTTTTTATTTGTCTAAGCATTTCCTAGTAAACTACAAAAGGTCCTCCCTGAAATTCTTTTTTTCCACAGAAGCTATTTTACACTACTATTTCCCCTACTTTGTAGCCTATTATATTGGATGCCTTTTCAGTTGCTCTTTTACAGTTTGATTTAATTTTTAATTCATTATATTGTTTTAACTAATTTTAAAAACATTTCTGTAACCTGCTTCAAGAATAATATATTAAGTAGCAGCTAATACATGGCCCAAACAAGACAACAAGTGACAATTGATTCAAATTGCAGCAGACAGATTGAAACTGGAGCCAAGATCATGGATCATATTATGCCAGTCATATTGACTGTTCTAGACACAATTTGGAATATTGGCTTAACTTCTAAAACCCTGAATGGTCTGGGCCCAGGATGCTTAAAAGACTGCTTACTTCCAAATGAATCTCTCCATGTGTTATAGTCTTCATAGACCTTTCTCCATGTATTCCCCTATTGGAATTTTAGTGAGTGGTCACATGGGAAAAGTCTTCTGAATGCTAAAATTATGCGACCCCATCCCCAATAAATACATTCTACTCCATCCCTGGAGGTATACAGATGCACTCAAAACCATATTCTTTAGGAAAATTACCTTATAAGCTCTACCAGTCAATGGAATAATTTTAATGAAATAATGTTCCATTGTATTATTGACATTGCTATGAAGTATGAAAATGTAATGACAACAAATACAGTTTTGCAGTTTAACCTTGAAAATATGAGCTTCGACTCTTGCTTGGATTTATTGGGAAGGCACATAACATAGATGGAGTAGATCATGTTTGAGTAATACACTCCAAAACTTTAGGCACTATGAAAAATGTAGGTAATTGAAATAATCAAAACCCTAGATTTTGTTTGCATATGTCAACACATAGCTTTGGGGTTTTTTATTTTTAAAAGAAATTAGGTCATTTAAACAGTGACAGCTACCTATTAGGAGAACAATTTTAGTTCAATTGTGACAGAATTAAGGCAGCATTTCTACTTACCACCTGTAGTTTTTCACAATGTTATGAAGAGGGCATGCAGATATTTGGTGTGCCCCTAATTGGCTATAGGAACACACAGTCATGATCCCAAGAAGCTATTAGTAAACCTGGCTTAGGAAATGCTTCAAACAGGAACTCTTCCCTTGTGCTATTTAAAATAATGTTGTTCCCTGCATATGCTCTTTCCAGAGCTCTATGTCCCTACATTTTATGGGCTCTTTAGCAACTCCACATATGGACATCAGGAGACATACATTTCTTGTTTAAGCGTATGATGTTTACAGCACTCAACAAGTAAAAGTACCTTATACCCAGTCAGTAGGGCTGCCAAGTGGGGGCGGGTGCCGGGTAAACCCCCGCTTTGGAGGCCCGATTTCCACCACCGCGGAATCGGGCCCCGGGGGAACTCTGCCCCCCGAAGCGCAGCGTGGCTGCATCACCAGAGGTGACGCAACCACGTCAATCACGTTGGGGGCGTGGCCCGGATCGTCAACCACATTCTACTTCAAATTATGGCGAATCTGATTTGGATCATCTCTAAGTGGTCAACCACTGGGACATTAGTAGGAAAAAGTCCCATCCCAAACCTACTCATTTTAAATTAGCAAGAATCTGTTAGCAAGTTCTCCCTCCAAATTATAAGGAACATGTTTCTTCTTTCCAGGAGGTGTGATGAGCCCTGCAGATTAATTCTGAAGCACAGTGTGAAATAAGGAAAAAGATAAACTTAAGCAGAACCCAATGAGTAACAGAAAAGTGATGGAATATGAAATTTCGCCTAGGCCCACCTCTGATGGACACTGTTGTATTGTAAAATAACTTTTCTATGTGTCTTTTAGGAGCATACCTGGCAACTATGCCCAGAGAATGCATTGGGTGGGCAGGTGGGAGATCTTGATGCCATGTGAAATTATTGTTATACTACTTCACTTTTAGACTTACGTGTCTTATCCATACAGAAGAATTCAGTGCAGCTCATGGATATAAAACATGGCTTGATATGCTTTCATTAGTGGAATTTGTTAGTGGAATTAACCAGATGATGCATGTGGTTCAAATGCAGTCTTGATATACATGAGAAACTTCATGTTTAGAAGGCAGCTCTGAGGGATCAATATGCACCAGCAAAAGAAATCGTGAAAATATGGTAATCAATGATTGGGCTAAATTCCTTAATGTTTAGGGCTGCCATGAATACTGGTCATATGATTAAAACTAAACAAAGGAAGTCAAAGTGGCTTTCAGGGATTCATGCATACATTTCATGATGTCAGTGGGACTTAAATATAAATGGTGGCAGGCTTGTTCCAGAAATCATTTAAGATTATGGAGTTAACAGATCCCATTTAAAATACATCTTGCATGCTTCATGCAATTATCTGAAACATCAGTCTTCTCCCAGTGTCATAATAATATGATTGTGTTTGTGTTGATGGATTTTAAATGCTATCTTGAGAAAACTGGTATCACATTTGCAGCAGCTTATCAAATCAGAGGCTTGCACTCAGCCTGTGATAATGACATATTTTACTAATTAGCCTGCAAGGAATGAAAATGAAAAAACTTAGCACTACCAAAGTTATTAACGGTGAAATGAAATTTGTTTGAAATAAAAATCACACATTTTTTTCTATATCTAAAATATCCCAAGTCCAACTTATGACTAATATCAAAATGCCACTGATTTTAGCAACAGGACTCAAATTTCACTGGTATAATCCTAAATAGAAAGCCTGTATTATTACCATCCAAAGACTGGTTATGAAAAGTGAATTTGAACATCAGAACTGGAAAGTCCATAGTCAGCCATTTTACTGAAATTCAAATTAGATGATGTTTTGGAGTCAAGTTACACAAACTCTGGATCTACATTTTACATTTAAAATATAAGTCCTGTATGACTGTGATCATGCTTGATTACTCATCTACCAAACATTGATATTCCAAGTCAGGATCCCAAATGTCGTGCTATATTCCAACAAGTTCACTGTAGTGCAACAGTGCTGTTTGCAGCTCACTTCTGAGCCAGCTCAAAACCAAGCACTGTAGCACTATTGCATTACAGTGCTCATACTGTTTCACGTATTACAAGCTACTCTGCTGCTATTTTGTAGTACTGCAGGCTGTTCAAGGGGTGGTTGTACAGCAAGGCCTATACAGAAGCAATATAGCATCAGCAGTCATTCTATGCTATGTTCAAGACTGAGCATTTAAATACCAAAGAGTTATGTGGTCAGGGAATTTCTATGTCACTGTTCTGTGTTCTGTGTGCATGTGTGCGTGTATTTGTTCATTATGATTATTTATAATTTATTCTCTGTTTTTTAGTATTGTAAGCCTTTTTATATACCCCTGGGTGAAAAAGTGTAGTATAAATATTTTAACTGAGTAAAATTACAAATAAATAAAATAAGAAATAAACGTAGAGAGCCAAAACCTTCCATATTCATAATATGTTTATATTTTCTTTCCCTGAAAATCCCAAAAGTACTTTAAAAAGGACTCAGAGTAAAATCTTGGGTTTTGCCTTGAAACGGTGTTCATTTAACTGTAATATAGGGGAGGTGATTTTTATTTTACTATTCTTCTGTAGTTATCAATAGATGTGCTTCTTAACTGGTTCTGCTGAGATCTGCTATATTTTTCTGTTGGGTAAGCTTAGGAAAGTGATTTGTTTCCTTCACTGTATGCCCATTCAGAACTTAATACAGTCTGTGCATGATTTCAGCTCCAGGACGGAGTTAAGGTTCAAATGAAGAAATAATAAATAAAAGCTATATATTATTATATGCCAAGGGTAAGGCTATACTTCACTTTTTATTATAATAAAAATATATCTTTTCTCAGTATGTAGGTATTATATTTGTTTCATGGTATCTTTCTTTTTTGTGATACCTATTGTTATACGTATTGATGAAGTTTTATTGTGTTTTAAAGTAATATATTTTATTAAAAACAAAAACAGAAGCTATGAAAGTCCTCACATTAAAAGAATGATTTATGTTGATATGACACACAGAAGGCCCTCTTCTTAATGTTGTTTTTACTCTCTTTTTACTTCAGGCACCAAAGTATCTAAGGTTAATACTGAGCAGTATCTTAAACTAATTTTGGTATATCTCTGTAAAAGTACAAAGAACCTGGATCGATCCATCTAGAAAAGGAAACTATATATTTCACTTCTAAGAAAAGCAGTAGGGGTGTGCATTCAGGTATACTTTGTCTCTAAATATGTCTGAAAAAGACCTTATTAGTATTTTCTGGATATGTTTGGGTTTCCCAAATATATCCGGGATTTTTCGGAATACTGAAGAAATGGGTCCTGAAAAAATGCAGAAATATTCATGATTAACTGGGAATATCGAGAGGTGGTATTTGCAGACTCCTAGGACTGCCTCTCATTTCTGTGTCTGTCAGGGCTTGGTATCGGCTTGCCAGGAGGCTTTAGATAAGATTCTGTCAGTTTCAAGTGTTTTGAGTCTTTTTTTAAAAGTTCATTCTTTGCTAGAGTTGGTTTGTATCATGTTACTGGATATTGGGGGGGAGGATTCTTGCATTTTAAATTGAGATTCTCACATTTTACATAGTTTGAGATTCTTGGGTTTTCTATAGTTTAAGATTCTCAGGGTTTACTTTGGTTGGGCTTAGAAATAGCTTGCAATAACATTGGGGGATTTTTTTTCAGGTTTTACATTTTGTGTGGGTGCTTTTCCCTCCCTAGGAAACAATAGAGGATGTCTGGAGGCACCTTATTCAATTGACTTGAATTTTGGTGGTTATTTAATGGACAGGCACCAGCAGCTTCCCTACAATTTTGGTGCTAGTACCTTTAAAAACAACTCCCCAGCCCTCAAGAAAGAACTGTAAAATATCGGAACCCTTTCAAAAAAACCTGGATTCAAATTTTGTTGTTCAGTCGCACAGTCGAGTCCAACTCTTCGCGACCCCATGGACAAGATCCCGCCAGGCCCTCCTGTCTTCCGCCGTCCTCTGAAGTTTGCTCAGTTTTATGTTTGTTGCATCTATGGCACTGTCTAACCATCTCATCCTTTGTCGTCCCCGTCTTCTTTGACCTTCAATCTTTCCCAGCATCAGGGTCTTCTCCAGTGAGTGCTCCCTTCTCATTTGGTGGCCAAAGTATTTGAGCTTCAGTTTCATTATCTGGCCTTCCAGGGAACAGTCAGGGTTGATTTCTTTTAAGATTGACTGATTTGATCTTCTTGCAGTCCAAGGGACTCTCAAGAGTCTTCCCCAGCACCATAGTTCAAAATAATCTATTCTTCGGTGCTCGGCCTTCCTTATAGTCCAACTCTCGCAGCTATACATGACTACTGGGAATACCATTGCTTTGACCACCCGGGAACAATATCATGCTGCTTAGGATTCAAATACCCTGCTGATATTTGGAACCCAGGAACAATATTTTTCAGCTCCAGTATATCAAGATCTGAAAAATATCTCTTTTTTAGGCTGCACACTCCTTAAAAGCAGAATAAGAACACACTAGACAAGACTAACAGATAAAGAGATATATTAGAGAGGCAGACTAGCTGTGTAGTGATTTGAACCCAGGTTTCCTAGATCCCAATCCGTATACTACATTGCCTTTCTAATTATTAAAAAAATTCCAAATATAAAAAATAGGAAGTATCTACATTGGTGTGATTGACCAAAAAAGTGTGATGTTAAAGAATTAATACCAACCTGCTGTTAAATGGGCAGCATGAACAAGGATTCTAACCCCAGGTTTTAAGTCAAACTGGATGGAGTTTTGGTTCAGTTTCTGGACTAATATTTCTGAAATCTGGGGAGAAAAGAAGATAATCCAGTTATTAAAAATGGATACAAGAGTTACCTCAAAGAGCAAGAACAATATTACACCTAGCCTCGGCTTGTCTTCAACAGTGAATGGGCATTGCTGTATGTTTCAGAGAAAAGCACAAGAAGAAGTCTTAGTGTGGTTATGATGATTGCATTGTTTGCTTTTGTATTCAAGCCATACATTTTTGGGGAGGGGGGCAGCATACCATGAAGAAAGTTAATTAGCAGTTGATCAATATCCTCAGTAACAGCCTCTAGTCATACACCAACCATATATAATAAATGGCCAGTTACCTTAAAGTTAAATACTCTGAGCACTGAAGGTACCTATTGTCCCCCTGAGGTATAAACAAAACTAGTGATTGTTTTCCCAATGCTGTTTGCAGCAAAAGGTTTATATCACAAGCTGAACAACCAGCAAACTGTGCCTTTATTGTTATAGAATTGCTATATATACCACCTATGCAATGATACATATAGAGCTAAAACCAATCCACATCACTCTTTTTTCTCACCAACAGTTGACTTGAGGGCAATCATCCTGTGGAACCTATTCTTGTTAATGAGTTCATCATATGATGTAATTGTGTCATGTAATTTTCAAAGGTTAATGAGAAATCATTGAGTAAAAAAGACATTCCCATCTTTTTAGGTCATTTCCAATCTTTCTAATTTTGTTGATTTACTTTGTAATGATGCTCAGATGGGAATCAATGTTCTGAATTTCACTTTTTCCCAGTGTGAAAGATTTATCAATATCTTTTTAGAATCTTCATTAAACTATTTTTTGCTCCTGCATTTTATATTGGCCACTGATTGCTCAGAACATTATTCCTCAATACTAAGGATGAAATCATTTATACGCCAAAAATTGCACTAATGTGAAGAGAAGCAAACCCTTCTAATCACCATACTATTTTAAAATGCACATTTCATATGATGACATTGAGTCTACCATCTCTGGAAAGAGCCTGCTATTTTCTCTCCCACCTGAAAATATGAGGTTTTTGTTATTTCTTTCTTCAACTGATTCTCTTTTTCTAGATGAGCTACACTCAGCTCCATAAAGAGAAATAACAGCATACATAAAGAAGGAAGGAAAAGCAGACCCAGTCACTAGCTACAAATCTACTTTTAAAAAATGAAAGAGAGGAGATGAGATTTTGAAAGATGATGGAACCTACAGCAGCTTGCACATTTTTTTTTAACTTTCACACTTCCCTAGGGCAGCCACCAGCTTCAGGAAAACCTGAAGTATCAGATAGCTTATACATGAGTATTGAAAGGACCAAGGAGCAATGGAAAGCCGTACTACCAGGCATAATCCATCTTGTACATTTTTATTCCCTCTTCCTCTTTTTATCTTCACTACAGCCTTGAAAAGCCAGTTATGCTGAAAAGGGGGGATTTGAGTCCAGGTCTTTCAGATCCTAAAATAATCATCTGACACTGCATCATACTGGCCTGTAAGGACCCACCCCTCCTTCCCCTTGAATAGTAGGGTCCCCCTCTTATTTTGGACTTAGTTGTTTTAATAGGCACTCTCTTTTACAGCCTAAGTGCCAGGGGATCTGAAACTTGGAGAGTCTCATAAAAACTCCTGGGTACAACCATGACATTGGGAAATCCCAGGAAAGAAGAGAAAGGGTATGCTGGAATTATAAACTGATCAAGTGCCATCTCCCCAGGCTCAGTGGCATATCGTTCTCAATAACAAAAGAATTGTCAACACTGGAGATACCACCTAATATCCTGACTTCTCCCAGAGGTGCCTGTCTACCCCAAGGAAGTTGCTAATTCCTTAACCAACTTCCCAGTTCCCCTTTTTCCTTTTTTTACTCAATCAAGACTTAAACCATTAATTTGCCTTCCATCCTGTTTCAGGAGTGATCTTGACTCACTCAAAACTTTTGTGTCTATGCAGATCGGGTTAACTTCAACCTAATTAAATCACCCAGGCTCTTTGTGCCCATGCAAATTTGGCTCACAATAGCCTAATCAAGGTATTTCCCCGCTTTTACCCACCAAAGTCTGACAGCAGTTAACTTTAAACCAGCCAATGAGATTCAAACCTTTAATCCTCAGATCCCTGATCCAGATCTCTGCAAGTCAGAACCCTGGTTTCCTTCTGAGAACCTCTGTAACACTCTGCACGCTCCCCTCCCCCCCTTTCCTCCTCACTGTGATCCTTGGACTTCAGCTGCATTTGTCCCTGGACCTCTTCGGACCTCAAGCCCAGGATTTAAGGTTGTATGTCCCTTCCTTAAAACTTCCCACATACCATTGAACTTACTGGTACTTACATCTGAGCAGCCATGCCTAGGGTTGTGTTGAAACAATACCATTACAGAGTAAAAGGGCAGAGTCTATAAAAAGATCCTGGTAGAAGGGGAAGAGAGACAGCAAGAGTCTGATATTTAGGGAAAACAGGCAAAATTTGAGGTGAGATAAGTAGGGAAAGGAAGAATGCTTAGCTTTGCAGCAATTAGCCCCCCCCCCGCACCCTTGGATAGTTCAAAAGCCAGCTTACAAAGAGTTTTTTGTTTTGTTATTTGTCTTGTTATTCTTGCTTCTCTGGTGGAGGGGAGGAAATTCATGCTTTTGTCTGTGTGGGTGTAAATGCACCAGCACTGAGTAAACAAAACACACCAAGGAGTGAAGGGGTAGTTAATTGCCTGGGTAGGCACAGCCAGGTTCCCTGCTCCCTGTCATCCTACTTGATTTTCTGAACAGAAAGCAACAAATAGCAAAAAGGAGGCAGGCAGGACAGCAGAAGAGCAATGGATGCAGTCACCCCAGTCTATTCTCCCTGACTGATTGATTGATGGATTTCATTAGACTTATATCCTGCCCTCCCCACATTGTAAGCTCAGGGCGGGTATCGCTATAGATATATCTGCAATTGATGCAGATTTACAAATTAAAACATATTACAACAATCAAATTAAAATCCATAAAATAATTAGCCCTAATTACTAAAATCATCAGCATTTAAAACAACGTGCCTCCAAGATCTGTGGTCATGGGGGGGGGGGGATCAGAATGAATGTCCACTAATCAGAATGGATACTGAAATTACTCTGCATAGGATTGCATTGCAAGTGATCTTTTCTAGGGCTGCTAACTGCCAGAGTGTCTCCATTTTCCCCAGTGAACTGTGCAGGTGGAGATTGCTAAAATAAAGTGCTCCACAGAGCACTCTGGCCTTTGCATCAGCCAATGCACCCGCAAGACACAAGCTGGTGTTTCCTTTCTTTTCCCATCCTCTAGAAAAGGAAGCTCAGAGTGCTGGTGGCTGGAAGGACAGGCAGCCGCTGAGAGGATAACATGCTCCTCTGTAATCTTCTTCATCAAGGGCCAGATGTGAATGAGAGGACTGAGGGAATCCCTCCCCCCACAGCTGAGAGGAGGTCACTCTAAGCTGGAGGTGACTAATGCAAATTATGTACCTTCCAGCGGCTGCCCTTACAGGATAGAAGATGAAATGTCTTTAGAGCCATTTTTACTTGCTGTCTTCATCTCTTTGAAGGAGGAAGGGCAGCAGCATGAATGGCAAGCCAGAGATAGTTGCCTATGTTCTTCAGCCTCCTGCATGCAGGTCTCTCGGGGATGGGCTGCACTTGCTGCAGCCTCCTCTCTCCACTGTGTGAGAGAGTAATCTGCCGGCTTGCCATGGGCCCAAGCCTTCACCCCTTGCTGCCGCTAGATAGTGGAGCCTTCAGGGCAGAAGTTGTTGCCACCAACAGAGGCAACAATGCTGAGGGATGGCTGATTCCCACCCCAACAGTCCACAGTACAGCTGCCAGGCCAGCCATTACAGCTACGCCTGGAGGGCCTGATGGCATGGTGACAAGGGATGAAGGTTACATGGGCTGGGTGATCATTGAGCTCCAGGGCAGGAGGAGAGTCCTAGGCCTTGCCTCAACCCCTCCTCTGGCTTTTGTACAGCCAACAGCCATGCAGCTCCCAGCCACCAGCAAGAAACCATGGCACCTGGCTGACTACATGGTGATCTGGGCCCCCCAAGCATGATGCTGGGGGTAGCTGCTCCAGTTGCCATGTGACTAAAGCCCCCCTGATTCTAGTTTACCTATTTTACAGATGAGAAAGCCTGGGGTGGGAAATGTCTGTTTCGAAGGACAATCAGTGAGACTGTAGCAGATAACTCAAAATCCATAAATATTAAATAACTCAAGGAAGAGAGCTAAGCCACAGATGTCAGAATCCATAGAAAAAATTCAAACCCATGAAAAGCAGCTAATTCAAATAGATATCGTAACTGCAAAAGAATAATTGAATCTATGCCAGAGAACTAAAAACCTGCACAGACCAGATCACTCAAGAAAGTAAGGAAGCTGAACTTTGTCAATGCTCAATTTTGATTCAGAAAGTGAGTTGTTGACATGGGCTTTCCCTGTCCAGGATGAAACTACAGTAATCTTTTTTCCCAGCTACACTAACACTGTCTGATAGAATGATTACAATTAAAATTGACCCCCCCCTTTTGCAACAATTGCCCATAAATGGCATAACAGAATAAAAAAAACAATTGAACTGGCAGTGCCAACTACAAAAACAGGTGGAAAAGTTCACAACAATACACATAGACAAAATTAATCAAATATAAGAGAAATAATACTAAGGTCTTTTAAATATAATATACATGCATACCCATCAGACCTTCTCTTTCCATCTGTCTTCTTCATACAATCTCTCTCAACTTCATATATTTCCTTTTTCTTACACACACTTGGGATGTTGATACTCCCCCACCCCCAAAACTCAACTGTTGATGCTTCTGGTATGGGTGTCTGGAGCTGATGGCTGAGGAAGGATTAAAACCAACAGGTTGGCCTTGACATCATCCCCAGTGTGGTTCATTCACTCCAACTTTGAAGCTTCCTTTCCTGTTTTTCCAAGCCACCTTTTGCTGCGCAATGCACAAAAACAAAGCAAAAACCAATAGGAAACCCAGCAGGGAAA